AAGAGGTAACTATGGGGAGGAAGTGGGAGGGGAGCTGTTGCATTGTGGTAAACTGTGGTCAATGTCATGAGACAAAGTATATGTAAACTGCTGCTGTATGGAACGTGAATTTGCTCTGTAAATCTCCACCTAAATCACAGTTTAAAAAAAAAAAAAGTGAAAAAGAAAGTTAGTTTTCTTATATTTTTTATCCTTTTCCATCTGTCACCACAAGCAGGTCTTCCTGACTTCCCCTCTGCCCAGGACTCCCCAGTTACCTCTCAGCCTAGGACTCTGATTCTCATCCAGATCTGTGGGCAGAGAGCCAATCCATATCTTCCTCTGTTATTTTCACCCTTTGGTGTTCTGTTTAAGGAGCTCTGGTGGCCTAGTGCCTAAGGCATTTGACTGCTGGTGGTTCAAACCTACCAGTCACTTCTCAGGAGGAAGATTGGGCAATCTACTTCCGTAAAGATTTACTGCCTGGAAAACCCAAAGGGGGTCTCTATGAGTCAGAATTGACTCAATGCCAGTGAGTTTTGTTTTGTTTTGTTTTGTTTTTTTGGTGTTCTATTTGGGAGTCCCTGAGTGTATAAAGGAGCTCCGGTGGTGTAGTGCTTAAGGCAATTGACTGCTGGTGGTTGAGACCCACCAGCCACTCTTTGGAAGGAAGGTTGGGTAATCTACTTCCATAGTGATACCGCCTCAGACACCCAAGAAGGAGTTTCTATGAGTCAGATCCGACTCCATGGCAGCAGTTACATTGTGTTTTGCATTTGGGTGGTACAAATGGCTAATGCACTCTACTGCTAACTGAAGGTTTGGAGATTTGAGTACATCCATAGGTGTCTCAAAAGAAAGGTCTGCATCTCTATTTCCGAAAAGTCAGCCATGGAAACCCTGTGGAGTGCAGTTCTAATCTAATCACATGAGGTCTCTGTGAACCAGAATCAACTTCACAGCAACTGGTTTAATTGCTGTGATTCTACATACATTTTTCTCTTCATGTATTTCTGTTTTTTCTCCAACACAATTAATTGCTTTTTTTTTTTAACTATTTACCACAGATATCATATCTCTCAGCAAAAGTAATGGAAAATTGAATCTACTTTCTCTGAAAAAACTAAACCAAGTACCTCATAATTTGACATATTTAGAGATATCTTTTTAAACTGCTAGTGTTTTATTATTAAAATACAGTGGGTGCCTTTTTCTTAATAGGAGAAGCCTGAGGGTGGCAGGCCAAGTATCTATAAATCTGCCACCAGCAACACTTCCAAGGAAATGACTGCCTACAGTGATTACCCTTTTCCTGATCATCATCCCAACTACTTGCACAATTCCAAAATCATGGAGTACCTCAGGATGTACACCAAACACTTTCACCTTATGAAATACATCCAGTTTCTGGTAAGTGAGAATGCTCAGCATATGTAGAACCCAAGAGCCAAGCCAGAACAAAGTATGGTAAGTTGTCTCCTCAGTCTTAGAGGTGACCACACCACCATGGTGTTTGCTTTATGTACATCTCCAGTGAAGGCAGCTTCTTATCTCACTTCCTTCAGGAAAAATGCATGGCAGATAGGCTAGAACATCAGACAGCACATCAAGTATTGGCTCACCACTAAGCAGGATATGTACTCAGAACCACAGTTGGAGCAAATCAGACTATGTCTCTACTTCAAAAGGTCTTGATAGGGAAAGGCAATTATAAAGAAATTTTTTGTGGAACCCTAAGAACAGAAATCTGCTAAGGGAGAGTAGCCAGTACTGACTTAATACAGTAAGGCAAAGATTCTTGGGAAACAAGGGAAATTGGGAGCAGTTCTCATGTGTCTGGGTTTATCTCATCCTCAGTCAAAGGTGTGCAGTGTGAGGAAGCGCTCTGACTTCTCCTCCACGGGACAATGGGATGTTGTGGTAGAGGCTGAAGGGAAGCAGGAATCCTATGTCTTTGATGGGATCCTAGTGTGTACTGGCCTTTATACTGATCCCTTCTTACCATTCGAGAACTTTCCAGGTATGTCATATAGATCTCTAAGGCAATGATTTTGTAAGCTTTGTAATTGTTGCTGGAGCTAATTTTGAATAAAGTTTATAACTCTGAAAGTCACTATATTTTCCAAATAAATATACCTTTTTTCTGATATACAACAATGCATGTTCTTTGAAAGACCACTAAAATAATTCATAATGTTATAAATTGAAGTTAAAAATTACTAATGTCTCATCATCACTACTTCTGATTATTGGAAGCCAAAATGTGGGAATTGTTTTGTGTTGATAATAGAGTAAATGGTAAAATCATAGCTACAGAAAATATTTTAAGATTTAGATTTATTAATAAATGTGTCTGTATGTGCACAGCACTATGAATACAAATGTTAATGTATTAGTGTCACCACCCACATGTACCAACACAGACTGCCAGTGCTGATATTTACCACTTGGAGCCTTAAATACCTGTGTTCTGGTTACCTAGTGCCACTCTGACAAGAATATACCACAAATGGGATGACCATAACAAACTGGAATTTATTCTCTTACAGTTTGGAGGCTTTAAGTCCGAGTTCAAAGTGCCAGGCTCTAGGGGCTGTGTGAAAGCCCCTCAGCCTTGGGCTTCAGCTTTGCCTCTTGCTCCCAGCTCACTAAAGCTAGAGGCATCTCTTCACTCAGGCACTTACTGGTTGCTGAGGCTGACAAGCCCAAGGTCCACAAATTAAAAGGCACAGTCCTGATGTTACCAAACCACATGTCAGGCCATTAATTCAAGTCTGTTGTAAGTCCCAAGGTCGGCAGATCATGGCAGGCTGCTGAACAACGACACAGCTATAAGCAGGATCCAAGCATGTCATGAATTAGAAACCATTCCCCAAGGCTTCTGCTTATATACAGGAAGCAGACCACATTCCCTAAGGCAGCTACTCAGCTGCTCCCAGTAGATTCCACCATGGAGTTGATTACAGTCTCATCATGGGGAATACTACATCCAGCTGCCCAGCCACTCAACCAGGCCCGGCCAAGTTGACACACAAACTGAACTACCACCACCTGCATGAAAGGAATAGTGTAGAAATGATTTATCTGCAGGAAGTCTCCTTGTTTATCTCTAGAAGCAGGATATGTACTCAGTCTTCCTGGAGAAGGCTGAAGCATAGACCCTTCTGGGGTTCTCGGGAGATATTGGACTCTCCCACCGATTTGCTATGAATGTCTCTGTTTCCAACTATTAGAGAAGATAAAGAAGGTAATAATTGGTCAAGAGAAAGGTTATTTTTAGTTACTTAATTAGTCAGAGATTTGAACATTTCTGTATTCATTCATTCAAGAAATGCTTATTGAGATATGAGCTGAACATTTACATTAGGTAGTCACACTCCTTGGAGAGATCAATCATGGGAGAACAGAATGGCTGTGTATGCACAGGGAGACAGCTCAGGGGTCAGGAGTGCTTGGAGGGAAGGACACAGGGAAGAGGTAACTATGGGGAAGAAATGGGAGGGTAGCTGTTGCATTGTGGGAAATGGTAGTCAATAACATGAGGCAAAGTGTATGTGAGCTGCTGTATGGAAAGTGAATTTGCTCTGTAAACTTTCACCCAAATCACAATAATAATAAAAAAAAAAAATGCTTATTGAGTACTGACTGTGTGTCAGAGATTCAGTAGAGAACAAAACAGACATAACCTCTGCTCTCAAGGAGTTTGCTTGAAAGTAGATGGAGACAGACCAAATAGGATAAGTATGTTGGAGGCTACAACTGTTGAGGAGAAAAATTAATCAGGGAAGGGGATAAAGCTGTCAGAGTAGGGGACTATGTTACAATATCAGATCAGGTGACTGTGCAAGACTTCAGTGAGAAAGGGAAATTTGAATAATCTTGTAGGGTTAAAGGAACAGGGCAAGGACTGAACAACAATCAGGACTAAGTGAGACTGTCCAGTGTCACAAGAAAAGCAGGGAAAGTCCATATGTCCATATGTGCAGATTCCATGTTGATAAAAGAGGAAATGGTATGAAATGGCTTTGCTATTGAGGCTTCTCTTTAAGTCGGAGCAAATGTGTGAGTAAAAAATAGAAAGTTCTTACATTCTCTTAGCTTCAGATTCTGTAGGTTGAAGCCTTTGCCCCAGGAAGAAAGCAGAGTGGATAGTGCTAGCAGGAAGGGTATACTGTGCCCTGGAGGAGATGAAGACAAGGTAGATCAGAATGAAGCTTGGGTCAGAAAGCAAAGCAGAGGGAATCAGTCAGTCCAGTGCAGTAGTTGTAAGTAACAGGTATGACAGGTCAGGAAGATGTATTACTTAATAAGAGTGAGCTTGTCCTTGAAGACTTGGCAGGATGTTGTTGTTGTGCTGTTATGTGCCGTCAAGTCGGACCCGACTCATAGCAACCCCTCCTTGGGTTTCTGAGGCAGTATCACTATAGAAGTAGATTGCCCAACCTTCCTTCCAAGGAGTGACAGTGGTTTTGAACCTCCAGCCTTCTGGTTAGCAGTCAAGTGCCTTAGGCAGGATATAAAACCATAAAACCAAAATCAAGTCAATTCAGACTTATAGCAACCCCCATTGGGTTTCCGAGGTTGTAAATCTTTACAGTAGTAGATTACCCCATCTTCCTTTCACTGAGCAACTGGTGGGTTATGAACAGCTAACCTTCTGGTTAGCAGCCAAACACCTTACCCACTACACCAGATAAGTGAAATGAATGCAAAAATGAGATATCTGAATTTCTTAGAGGCTTTAGCTCTGTTTGAGCATGGAATTTACAATTTAGAAAAAAACTGTAGAAAGATTCATTCTGTCTGATGATGTATGGTAACCACAATCCCCAGAACTATCATCAGTAGATCAGTAAATGAGAGGTCTCAAGAGAATTACCAAGAGTTGGTCAAACTGTGCAGTTGACGGCATAGTCCTCCAGACAGCCAAGGATGCCCAACACTTCTGACATCAATTGCAAGTTTAAGAGCTTCCCCAAACCACACTTACTTCAGACTAGCTGGCTACAAATTTTAGGGACCCCACAACCTCCCTCAGGTTTAATAATTTTCTAGGACTCACCAAATCCACTGAAAGCTATTATACTAATTGTTTATTACAGGCAAAGATACAGGTCAAAATTAACCAAAGAAGGTAATGCTTAGGGTAAGGGCTAGAAAAGATTCAAGCGCAAAGCTCCCAGTCATCCTATCCCCATGGAGTCATGGATGATATTATCTTCTCACAGCCATGATGTTTAACAATATACAAAGAGTATTGCCAGCCAAGAAAGCACACCTGAGCCTTTGGTATCCAAAATTTTAGAGGCTCAATCATATAACCAAAAGGTTGGCGGTTCAAACCCACCACCCACTTTGTGCAAGGAAGTTGGGGCAATCTACTTCCATAAAAATTTGCCACCTTGGAAACCCAATGGGGATCGCTATGAGTTGGAATTGACTCAATAGCAGTGAGTTTGGTTTGGTTTGGAAATGACATACTGTCTGCATGTCTCATTTTTACTCTCCAACCCTTCCCAGATATTAAGCTAATACCTTTAGTCTCCACTTCCTTGAGAGATTGGAGCTTATATCCTGAAGTCCTCATTCATAAATCACATTGCTAGATTGTCTAGTGGCCAAAGCCCCAGGTTAATAAAGATACTTCTATCAGATACAGCATTCCAGGTGCCTAGAGATCATCTCCCATTACATGAGGGCATAAGTCACACCTCTCTTTCGGTAAAGTAATGACCAAGGCTTGAACAATTCTGTTCTTACCCATAGGGATCAAGAGGTTCAAAGGTCAATATATCCACAGTTTGGAATACAAGAGGCCAGATAAATTTCAGGAGAAGAGAATTATTGTGATCGGCATTGGAAATTCTGGAGTTGATTTAGCGGTTGAGCTCAGTCATGTAGCTGAACAGGTTTGGCTTCTAAAATTTTCTTCTCATTGTGTCCCATCCGATGCCCTCTGAGATAGAAGTAGTGTATGAAATGTGTGTAAGCATGTTCTCACATTGCTTCAGTCCTGATGGTTAATTACCTCTTCATACCTGTTTTACCTGAAGACATTTCAATAATCTACTCCAAAAAGTAGTGGGAATGAAACAAAAATAAATATTGCAAACTTTAATGACTGGTATATTGTTTATTTTTACCAAAGAATGTGAACTTCATCAGCTCAGCCAAGAATTTTTTAAGTGAGCATAGCAGAACACCATATTTTCAAATCCTTTTATTGTTCATTGATGTGACATTTAACATTACCACCCAACTCTGATCCCTTCCATACCTAAATTCCTCACTCACTGCTGTCAAGTCAGATCAGACTCATAGCCACCCCTCCTTGAGATTCCAAGGCGATATCACTACTGAAATAGATTGCCCAAGAAGTGGCTGGTGGGTTTGAACCACCAGGCTTCTGGTTAGCAGTCAAATGCCTTAAGCCACCAGGGAGGGATACATATGAATTAAATATTATAAATCTTACAAAATTGTAATTAGCACATTGATGGGACCTTATATGTCTATTTGTTGATTTCTAGTCTTCTTCCATTATTTGGTTATTCAGAATTTAAAATTTAAGACATTCCAGACTTCAAATACTGCTTTGGTGAAGGTTCAAAGGGATAGTGGGTGAGAGCTATAGGAAGGTTTGGGCTGATCTCTGGGGCCCTAAGTAGTATGTCAGGTGTGTGTCTGTGTGTGTGAGCATGTGTAGCTATCTGTGACTGTATCTGTTGCATAGCTGGTAAAAAGGCAAGAGAGTTCTTATCATTTCTCCTAGTGAGCCAAACAAAAGATATATGAGGTACTGAGAAAAGGATGCTATGAAAGAAAACTTAACATTGTGAGGCAGATATTTTTAATTTATGTGCACTTACTCTTAGGTGTTCCTCAGCACAAGGCGGGGTGCATGGATTTGGAACCGGGTCTGGGATTATGGGATGCCCACGGACACTATTCTTTTCACTCGTTTCAACTCTATCCTCAAAAAATTCTACCCAACATCTTTAATGAACAGATGGGCAGAGAATAAATTAAATGCACGATTTAACCATGACATTTATGGTTTGCAACCTCAACACAGGTATGTTCTACTATTTTTGTTTGTTTGTTCTACTATTTTTTAAAAAAATAATTGTGTCTGCAATTTGGAATAATTAGATCAGAAAATATACTTAACCTTCTTATGAGAATATTTATCATAGTTTCCTTTCTTATATTTCTTTGGAACATTCTACTCAATTAACTTATAGGAAAAAAATGAGTTTTAGGAATATGATGGCAACTTCATCTGCTTCTGTCCTTCATGTTCTCAGGCTGCTGTTTCCTTCTTCTTTAGACTCTGAGCCTTTCAAATGGTGGACGACAAGGCTCAGATGTGATAAAAATCAACTCCATTTTCCCAGGCCGATGGAAAGAATCAGGGATTGGGTATTATAATGTAGTAAGATAAGAGACTTGGAGGGAATCTTTGAAATGCAACACACATTTTCTTTGTCTCAAATAGTGTTCTGATAGAGAGAAAGCAGGAGAGAATGGAGATTGGGCATGTGCTTTGGATCCAGACAGTGGGAGTTTGAATCCTAGATTTGCCACTTACTAAAAACCAAGAAAAAAAAACTCACTGCCCTCAAGTCAGATCTGATTCATAGCAACCCCTGCTTGGGTTTCCGAGGCAGTATCACTACGGAAGTCGATTGCCCAACCTGCCTTCTGAGGAGTGGCTGGTGGGTTTGAACCACCAACCTTCTGGTTACCAGTCAAATGCCTGAGGCACTACACCACGTAAACTTGTGCTCCATTTATATACAAAATTGGGATATCATTAGTATCAACTTAGAAAATTGTTTTGAGCAATAAATAGGAATATATACATATAGCTTATAGTAGTCCCCAGCAAAGAGTAAATATTCAACAATTTTGTATCATTTTGTATTTACTGACATCCAGTTTGTAGCTTCAATGACTGAGTAGAGAGTATATCATATTACAAAGGTAAGGAATTCTGAAGAAAAGCAGCTTTTGAAGGTAAGAGGAGGGTGGCTGATAATGTAAGTTTTAGAAAACTGTTTCTGCAATATTTATGAGGTATCTGAATACAGATATATAGCAGACATTAGGAGAGATAAACCTGAAATTCCAAGTAGACGTTAAGCTTGGAGAGAGTGATTTCAGAGTCTCAACCCTGGGAACAGATATCAAAATGTCAGTGGTGGAGGGTGTAATTATCAGGATTGGGAGGAGGCAGACTGGTCAAGTTTGAACAGGTATCTCTGGTATTCTCCTTTTTACACATTCAAACACACACACACACACACACACACACACTTCTCCCCCCACATTCCCACTCTGGCTTAAGAACCAGTGTTCTGGAAAGAGAAAAACTGAAGCCCTAGATCAGAAGGCAAGAGATCCCAAGAGTTAAAGGGAGCTGAAGAAAAAAAGTAGTCTTTAATGAATACTGAGGGAGGAAATAGAATCAGGAGTAAGGAGGAGAGAATAGGAAGGAGAATATCACAAAATAGTGTAAAGTGTACTAAGTCAATAAATATCATCTGAGCCCTTGCTGTGCTCAGATGTACTATTACATAGTAGCAAGCAGGTAAGCTAAAAGAATTAACCCATCAACTGCTGTGGCCCAAAACTAGTGTGAGGGTGTGTGTGTGAGGAAAGGTGAGACTCATCAGGAATTTACTGAAAACAAATCAGGACACATTACCCAACTTTTGTACAAATGTAGAGTGGTCTATTCTGCACACTAAATCTTGAGAAATACACAATGAAGCCAGAAAAATCTTCTGGGATAGACAATGAAAACAGAGAAGGTACACGAGATGTCTGCTGCAAGAAGACACAGCAGAACTCTGCAGAGGTGAATTTCATCAATTCCTTAAATACAAAAAAAGTAAAAAGAAAAAAAAAAAAAACTCATGAAGTTGAAAAGAGCAATATTTAGGAAAAATACAAATATTGTTTCCCAAAAAATTCATGTCAAGCCCTGTCTAGTACTTGTGAACCTGACTTTGGTTGGAAATAAGATTTTTGAAGATGTTATCAGTTAAGTTAACATGAAATCATCCTAAAGTTGGGTAGGTCCTAATTCATTCTGAGTGGTGCCTTATAAAGGAGGAGAAGAAGCACAGAGAGACAAAGAGAAGATTGCCATGTAAGGAAGGACGCAAAGAAGGTGTTATACTGCAGGAGGAAGCCAAGAAACATTCAGGGCTACCAGAAACCAGAGATATATTAGAAAGGATTTTCCCTAGACCCTTACCAGAGAGTATAACCCTACTGACACCCTGAATTTAGAACATTAACATACAAACCTATGAGACAAAAAAGTCCATTCTTATAAGCTACCTAGTTTGTGGTACTTTGTTGGGATAGGCCCAGGAAATTAGTCCATCTTTTGTGAGAAAAAAAATATATATATATGTTAAAAAAAAATGTGATTCTTTCATTAAGCATTAATTAATTTCACTCCTTTCCAAAAAGACTATATTAATTCTCTTGAACTTCAATTCTTATTTACCATATGTGTTATAGAATAAAATTTTGTTTGAAAACATTAGGAAAGATAGAAGAAAAATATTTTTCCTTTAGTGAATATATAGTCATCTCCAGGATAAAGAATATAAATTTATTTGTGGTTGAAAATATCTTTTGAAAAAACCATGAATGATAAATTCATTTTGTCTTCAGTGAGAAAAAAGATACTTTAATTTATATGCCCATATATATCAGGTTTACTATGTTGTTGTTGTTATGTGCCTTTGAGTCAGACCCGACTCATAGCAACCTCTCCTTGGGTTTCGAGGCAGTATCTCTATGGAAGTAGATTGCCCCATCTTCCTTCCAAGGAGTGGCTGGTGGGTTTGAACCACCAGCCTTCTGCTTAGCAGTCAAGTGCCTTAGACACTATGCCACCAGAGCTCCCCAGGTTTACTATAGAATAGAAAATTATATGCTCTCACAAAATGCAGTTTTTGTGCACTATGAGAATTAGTACTATGGGCACTTTGAATCAAAGCCGTGGCAAAGTAGAAAAAGCACAGGCCCTGCCATCACCAGACTTGTCTTAACAAATATCTAATGTTTATTTGCCACATAACCATGGGAAAGTAGCATAATAACATTTTCCCTCTCTTTTGTCTTTTTATGTTGGTAAAATGAAATCATTATCTGCCTATCTCTTGTGAGGTGTAAATGGATGAATACATAAAATTATCTATCTAATTCTGCCTATTATAGATAAGTAAATTCAATGAATTTTTTTTAGTTCCTACTGTGGTCAAGTAGGGTTTTGGGTTGTGGCAGTAGAGTAGTGACTATGACAGACAGAGTCTCAGCTCTCACTGGGCTTCCTTTCTAGGAGGGGAGAAACCAACAAGTCAACATACAATACAATAACATGGAGTAATGTGTGCTATGAAGAAAACTTAAGCAGTATGGGGGAAAGAGAGGAACAGAGAGGTCCTTTTTTAGATAGAGTAGTTAAGAGAACTTATCTGATGAGCAAGCATATAAGTAGGCATCTGGAGGAAGCAAGAGGTGAATGTATCAGATTACCTGAAGAAATAACATTCCAGACAGATGAAACATCAGGATCAAAGGCAAGAATGAGCTTGATTTGTCCAAGGAAGAGCAAGAAGCCCAGTGTAGTGGAAGTACAGAGAGGAGAAAGTGGTAAGAAACGAAAGCAGAGAGGTAGGCAGGGACCAGACTTCAGATCTCTGCGCAAGTAGATTGCCCAATCTTCTTTCTGAGGAGTGGCTGGTGGGTTTGAACCACCAGCCTTCTGGTTAGCAGTCAAATACCTTTGTTACGCCACCAGAGCTCCCTTTGTAGGACGAGGGCATGGTAATGATGTTGGATTTTAGTTTTAGTGAAATAGAAAGTCATGGAGGAAAGAATATCTTTACATTCTGAAAACATCACTCTGGCTGCTGAATGGAGAAGAAATTGTAGGCAGCTAAAGGTGGGAACAGGGAGACCACTTAAGAGCCTATTAATGCAATCCAAGTGAAATAAAACTGTGCTAAAATTATATAACAAATGTTAGTAAAATTTAGAAAGTCAGCATATTGGTTCTTATGCTTTAATAAAGCACAGGTTCTCGAAATAAAAATGGAAATCAGAACATGATATGAATTTCCTGTTCCCATATGAACACCTTGACTTTTTAAAGAACTTTTTAAAAGTTCTGCAAGGAAAGTACAGAATCAATCCATGTAAATGAAATCCTTGACAATTTCAACATTTTCTTCATTTATCATGATGTTGTTTATTGGTCCAGTTGTGAGGATTTTTGTTTTCTTTATGTTGAGGTATAATCCACATTGAAGACTGTAGTCTTTGATCTTCATCACTAAGTGCTTCAAGTCATCTTCACTTTCAGCAAACAAGGTTATGTTATCTGCATAACACAGGTTGTTAAGGGGTCTTCCTTCAATCCTAATCCCACATTCTTCTTCATGTACTACAGCTTCCTCTATTATTTGCTCAGCATGTATTTTTAATAAGTCAAGAAATCAAATGACATATCACATTGGGCGAATCTTTAAAATGCTAAAAAGTAAAGATGTCACTTTGAAGACTAAAGTGCACCTGACTCAAGCCATGGTATTTTCAGTCACCTCATACCCATGTGAAAGCTGGACAATGAGTAAAGAAAACAAAAGAAGAATTCATGCATTTGAATTGTGATGTTGGCAAAGAATATTGAATACACCATGGATGGCCAGAAGAACAAATAAATCTGTCTTAGAAGGACAGCCAAAATGTTCATTTGAAGCAAGGATGGCAAGAGTTTGTCTCTGGTACTTTGGTCATTTTATCAGGAAGGAGTCAATGGAGAAGGATATCATTCTTGGTAAAGTAGAGGGTCATTGAAAAAGAAGAAAACCCTTAATGACATGGGTTAACACAGTGACTCCTACAATGGGCTCAAGCATGGCAATGATTAGGAGAATGGCACAGGAGTGGGTAGTGTTTTTGTCTGTTGTACATAGGGTCGCTATAAGTCAGACCCTACTTGACTGCACCTAACAACAACACAGAATCAATGTATCACTGGTATATGCTTATAAACCCCTTTTCAAAATCTTCTCTTTGCATATATTAAGAGTTTAATAACATTATTGACTGACTGATATTAATGTGTATACACTAGCTCTGAACATTCAGTTATAATTCAGAAAAACATTGAGTGCAAGAAATCTTTTGTAAAAACTACAGCTCTTCCATTAAGCATTATTTAGCTCAAGTCTTTTCCAAAAAGACTTCAGTGAAAACTGAGAGCTGGAACTCAGCAGGACTGCCTTGTTTTTCTGAGTCTCAAACGTTTTCTGCCTTTGACAGGGCACAGTCACTACTTTTCTATCACTCTCTATTTAGTGGAAAATCCTATAGAAGCTGTGAAAGCTGGAACCTGTGGAAGAAAGAAACTTGTCAGAGAAGGAAAACTGAAACATTTCCCACTAAATAGAGAGAGAAAGAAAGGTAGTGACTGCACTCTGTCAGAGGTGGAAAACTTGTGAGACTCAGAAAAACAAGGCAGTTTCATTGAGTTCCACCTCTCATAGTATTTCAGTTTTCCTTCTCTGATAGGTTTCTACCTTACACGAGTTCTGGCTTTTGCAGGTTTTACTGTATATTAATTTTCCTGGACTTTGATTCTTATTCTGCAGATTTCTGAGTCATCAGGCTACTTTCAGTGATGATCTACCCAACCACATAATTTCTGGAAGAGTTTTGATGAAACCAAATGTAAGAGAGTTCACTGAGACGTCAGTTATCTTTGAAGATGGCACAAAAGAGAACATTGATGTTATCATTTTTGCCACAGGATATACTTTTTCTTTCCCTTTTTTGGAAAACAATTCAACAATTCTGGACAGCCATCACTCCATGTTTAAATTTGTCTTCCCTCCTCAGCTAGAGAAGGCAACACTAGCTTTCATCGGCATCCTCCAGCCAGTGGGAGCCACCATTCCCACATCAGAACTCCAGAGCCGATGGGCTGTACGTGTATTCAAGGGTATGTGCTGAACAGGTGATGTGATTTCAAAGTCATTGCAAGGGTCTTCTGGTGCAAAACATCTCTGCAGTTAACCTTACAGTATTTGAGATTCTGCCATTTGAGCTCCATTCAATGTTTGATAGCTAACTAATCTTTATGAAAATTACAATAGAAAAATACTACCTCAAGCTATGATTGGATGGCATCTTATTGGCAAAGAGCCACTATAGCACTGTGGTGATATACACAGTGCAGGAAGTGGGGACCGTAGGAGATAGGAGCTATCAACCTTTGGTCTTGGTGGGAAATAGAGTTATTTTACTTCCCACTGTTGCCCAGCTCATTCTGAAATGAGCCAAAATCAAAGGTAGTATTTTTGCCTGTTTCTCAAATGTTTCATCCAAAATATAAAGAGGACAAATAGGTGAATTATGGCAGAGTAATAAAGTAATGAGAACAGCACCACACTACAATCATACCCATTGCCACTGAGTCAGTTCTAACTCACAGAGACCCTATTGGACAGAGTAGAACTTCCCCATAGAGTTTTCAAGGCTGTAAGTCTTTATGGAAATACACTGCTTTATCTTTCTCGTATGGAGTGGCTGGTGGGTTCAGACTGCCAATCTTTTTGATTAGTACCCAAATGCTTTAACCACTGCACCACTAGATCTCCTAGAATCAATTCAGACTCATAGTGACCCCTCCTTTGGTTTCCAATGCAGTATCTCTACAGAAGTAGATTGCCCACTCTTCTAAGGAGTTCCTTCTGGTTAGCAGTGAAATGCCTTAGGCACTGTACCATCAGAGAGAATCATAAGAGTAAGGACTTCATAATCCAATAACTCCTAGGTTGCAATCCATCTCTACCATGTACTAACTGCATGATTTTGCATATTACTTGACCTCGACCTCCACAACGCTCAATTTCCTCATCTATAAATACAAGGATATTTATATCTACTTTGCAGGGCAATAAGAATGAAAAGTTAAGCATTTTGACTTTTGTAGGCATTTAATAAATATTGATCAAAAGAATGAAGACCAGCCATTTGTTGTAATTCTTTATTATCATTATTAGTTTTAAGGGGGAGACTAAATTGGCGAAGGCAGATTCAAACCCTACTTTTATAAGATGATCTCTATCACATTTTAATGTCTGCCCATTTATTTCTTTCTCCTTTAAAAAACTCCCCATATTTCCTTGGAACATTCTGTCTCTCAAAATGTGGGGTGTCAGTTATCACAGGAATGAAGGAGAGTTGGGAGGTATCTTCCATGAGTTAAGACACAAATTTAGTAACAAATCTCTGTCCAATGAAAACAATGAGGAGACAAATGTCATTAGCACTTGCAGTTATATATTTTTAAACCAATCTATAATATAAATGCACAAGAGTATCTCACTATTTAAAGGAGAGCCAAAGTGAATACTCCGGTGATGGGACTATTAAAAAAATTAAAAACCAGTAGCTGTGGAGTTAACTCCAACTCATGGTAACCTCATATGTGACCGAGTAGAACTGTGCCCCATGGAGTATTCACTGGCTGATTTTTCCCGAAGCAGATCACAAAGCCTTTCTTCTAAGGCTCCTTTGGTGTATGTCAACCTTCAAACTTTCCAGCCAAAAATGTTAACCATCTGTCCCACCCAGGGACTTCCACATGGATCTATAGACATCTTAATTTATGTCTTGTTAGTTGAATGTGACTCCCTTTAGTCAGTACTTGTTCTAGGGTTTAGGGTCTGCTAGTCAAGACTCTAATGTGACTCATACATGTGACAAGGACAAGTTTTTACATCTGTCAGGATGTGCACCTAATAAAACCATGAGGGGTGGGCATTGCAGAGCAACCCCAGGGTTCATCTCCCCAACTCCTGCATCACCTCCCTCATGATGCTCTCTATGATATTGACTCTCGGGTTATCTTCTCATTAAGAAAACAATATTCATGTTTGCATTTTTTTTTCCCTAGGATTAAACCAATTACCTTCAGTGAGTGACATGGTGGCTGACATAACAAAGAAGAGAAAAAAAAATGAAAAAGAGTAAGATACGTATTTCTTGGTATAAATCAATTTCAAGTGTTTAGGTGAAGCTGTTTGCCAATTAAATATTCTTTAAATTTTCCTCATTAAGGAATCTGGGTCTGTTTGCCTAGATGAGATCTCAAGTTGTCAACTTTTTTACTTTCTCTCAACTAAGCATAATTTCATGTATGAAATGTTTATGGGGTAGAATGGATACAGAATGGTCCACCATGAAAATATCAGAACTGTTGTTGAAAGTCCATGAAAAACTAGATACATTATGCAATTGTAAATTATGTCATGTCATAGCCTTAGAGACAGGATACATATGAAAATTAAGGTGATGGAGATTGTTTCATTCTTTCAAAGAGCTGGAAAGATAAATCAATGTGAGAAATGAGCTGGTAAATCACTACAGAATCTGATTAAAATTTTGTAGGTTGTGCCAAATCTTCTCAATGGAAAATTATTTTCAAACACTGGCATAAGGAATGTAGTTTATTTTACTCAACAAATATTTGTTGAAAATCCACAATGTGAATGTCACAACATGTTTCCTAAAATTCCTAAAAGAGATTATATCCTAAGAATAATCAGTTTTTCAGGAACTTTGGTTAAAAAAGGTGGGCCAGGAATTGCATCTCAGTAATACATAAAATCAAATGAATTTCATACATACCCAAAGCTAAGAAGTGGAATATAGTCAGTCTCACAGTGGCCTGTGAAATTCACATATAGTTTTAGTAAGTGCCCAAATGAGATTATTCTGATGAGAACCAAATACATGGCAAAAATACAATGTCCTCAGTTACAGAATTTAGGTAAGGAAGGATATCATTAATAAGACAAAAATCTTCTTACACCCTCTATTAGTATCCAAAACCCTTGGAAGAATTTGAGGGGGGGGGCGGTAAATGCATATGCATGAGTATTTCATTAGAGACCACTGAGAACAGGGTAACAGAAACCTGAAAAGCAATTTTCTCTTTCACTTTTTGGAGAAATCATCAATTGCTTGTTTTTGTTAGGTGCTGTCCAGCCAATTCTGATTTATAGAAAGCCCATGTGACAGAGTCAAACTGCCCCATAGAGTTTTCTAGGTTGTAATCTTTATGAAGGAGCTCTGGTGGCACAGTGATTAAAGCATTCAGCTGCTAACAAAAAGGTCAGCGGTTTGAATCCACCAGCTGTTCCAGGGGAGAAAGATGTGGCAGCCTGCTTCCGTAAAGATTTACAGCTTTGGAAACCTTATGAGGCAGTTCCACTCTGTCCAATAGGATTACTATGAGTAGGAATCAGCTCGACAACAGTGGATTTGGTTTTGGGTTTTGGTAATTTTTATGCACAGACCACCTTCCCACGAAGCCTGTGGGTTGATTCCAATTAACAAGCTTTTGGTTTGCATCTGAGCATCTAACTGTTCCACCACCAGAGCCCCTTTATCAATGGTTTGCTGTGTGTTGTTAGTTTCTATTGAATCAATTCCAACCTCTGGTAACCTTGTGCGTGCAGAGTAAAACTGCTCCATAATCTTTCCGAAGCAGATCACCAGGCACATCTCCAGAGATGCCTCTGAGTGGATTCGAAACTCCAGCGTTTGGGCCAGTATTCAAGCACTTAACTGTAATTGTTTTTTTCCCACAGATCATCCCTTCACACAAGGTCCACACATTGTTCAGAGGCTGGGCATGTGTTGGAAGGGTTGGAGTTTATCATCTGTCTTAGGGTTTCTGATGTGTCTCCTGGTTTCAGATTCCTGAATAATCCCCGTGATACACGCCGAGTGCAGTATGTGGATTACATGGATGAAATTGCCTCTGAAATCGGAGTGAAACCCAACCTGTTCTCACTGTTCCTGTGGGATCCAAAGCTGGCCATGGAGGTTTTCTTTGGTCCGTGCACCCCATACCAGTACCGCCTGCAGGGCCCAGGGAAGTGGGCTCAGGCCCGGGAAGCCATCCTGACCCAGAGAGAGCGAATCATCAAGCCCCTGAGGACTCGCATCCTCAGCTCTGGCCAGCATCCCTCATCTGCACCGCTTTGGCTTAAAAGTATCTGTGCAGCCCTTCTCCTTTTCATTCTCACTATCATCATTATTAAAGGATAATTTTCTATGGTCATTTTTATATTATAGGCCAACAATGACACACACTAATTAAGAGGCTAGATATGTGCAATTACTTTTCCCTCAATTCCAACTAGGTTAGAACAGTGAATTACCTCATCATTCCAAACGTTCTCAGGCATGAGTATCTTGAGCAAAATTAGAGATATCATCAAGAGATTTCAAATGGCATGATTCTCATAAAAGTTTAATGTTGAAATTTCTATAATTTGACAAAGCTACATGAAATTCTCCAAGGCCCTCCTTTATAGTAAACTCACAAGTTACTAGCCAATGAGGTAGTTTTGCACCTAAAGCACAGTTGGGTGGGGGGGAGTATTTCTTCAAATGATCTGGAAAATGTTACCAGTAAAAAAAAAAAAAAAAAAATGTCTGTCAGAAACTCTTTCCAATAAGATCACATTCTATAGCATCATGGAAATTGAGGTAACTGGTTATTTCAGGTATTATTGAGGGATTTCTTTAGGGCATGGAGGGGAAAAGGGGACATAATAGAAGGCAGGAATCAAATACATTTTTGTGTTCTATTAAAACTATCAAAAGTACATAGAGTAAGTGCTATAATAAACATACAGAAATCTATAGAAATACTCAGGAGTAAAAATGGTGGGTATGTGGAACATTCTCAGAGACTTCTACAATTAATAAGAGAGATGAAATATTCCTTTACTTCCTAATCAAATCACTCAATCACCAGGCTCTGTCTAAGCTTTCTTCTGATATTCTGTATAACAGTTTGTATTCGTTTCTCTAAACTGTATTATTCATCCTTTCATTTACTCAAGAATCTATTTCTTAAGCATCTTCTGTGTCAGACATTGGGCTGAGCACTAGGAATAAACAGATGCAGTGGCTGACATCTGGTCTCATGGCTTTAATTATAATGTTATTTATGCCCTAATGATGCCCACCTCCTATCTCCAGGCCTGACCGTTCCTAAAGCTTAGACCCACATCACCAAATGCCTATTCAGCATATTCAGACTAAAGCAAACTCCTGAGGTTTACCCCTCAACCTGCTCACCTGTGGGCATCCTTCAGTTCTGTAAATGACAACTTCATCTTTTTGGTCTCCAACCAAAAAGTTTCAAGTGCCCTTGATTATTCCCTTTCATATTTCACAACCAATTTGTCAACAAATCTTGCCACTTCCAAAATAGATTCAGGATCTCACCACTTCTCACCACCTCCACTGCTGCATCTTGGTTCATGTCACCACTGTGGTATCATTGTGGTAGTCACTTACCTGGACTTCTTCCTAAACCCTAATTTCTATGTCTACTCTCATTATAAGGCACATTGGTAGTGCAGTGGTTAAAGGACTCAGCTGCTAACCGAAAGGTTGCTAGTTTGAGCCCATCAGCATTTCTGTGGGTGGAAGGTATGGCAATTTGTTTCCATAAAGATTACAGCCTAGAAAACTCTACAGAGTAGCTCTACTTCATCACATGGGGTCGCTATGAATTGGAATCAACTGTAAGGCACTCGAAAACAACCATAACATTCTCATTGTAACAACCAAAATGATATTCCAAAAATGTAAGAAGTCAGATCATGACACCTTTCTGCCCAAAATCAACTATAGCTTCCATATCACTCAGAATAAGAGCCAAATACTTCTCTGACCTCATCCATTACAACTCTCTTCCATGTTCCTTTATTGAACAAGCCATTGTTGTCACTGTTGTTAGGTGCCATCGAGTCATCTCCGACTCATAGCGAGCCTACACACAGCAGAAAGAAACACCGCCCACTCCTGAGCCAGCTCCATAATTCTTGCTATACTTAAGCCTATCACTGCTGCCACAGTGTCAATCCATCTTGTTGAGGGCCTTCCCCTCTTTCATTGACCCTCCACCTTACCAAGCATGACATCCTTTGCCAGGGAAAGGTCCCTTCTGACAACATGACCAAAGTATGTAAGACGAAGTCTGGCCATTCTCTCCTCCAAGGAACATTCTGGCTGCACTCCCTCCAGGACAGACCTGTTAGTCCTTTTAGCGGTCCATGGCACTTTCAGTATTCTTCACCAACACCACAGTTCAAAAGCATCAATTCTTCTTTGGTCTTCCTTATTCATTTTCCAGCTCTCACTTGCTTATGAGGTGAATGAAAATAGCATGGCTAGTGTCAGGTGCACATTAGTCCTCAAGGAGATGTCTTTGCTCTTCAGCACTTGAAAGAGTTCTTTTGCAGCCAGTTTGCTCAGTGCTATACATCGTCTGATGTTCTGACTGCTGCTTCCATTGGTGCTGATTGTAGAACCAGGTAATGTGAAGTCTTGACAATTTCAATATTTTCTCCATTTATCATAATGCTTCGTATAGGTCCAGTTGTGAGGATTTTTGTTTTCTTTATATTGTGATGTAATCCATACTGCAGAATGTATTTTTCAATCTTCATCAACAAGTACTTCAGGTCATCCTCACTTTCAGTAAGCAAAGTTGTGTCATCAGCATTTCACAGGTTATTAATGATTCTTCCTCCAATCTTGATGCCTCTTTCTTCTTCTTATAGTCCAGTTTCTTGGATTATTTGCTCAGCATACAGATTGAATAAGTATGGTGAAAGGATACAACCCTGAAGCACTCA